AATTATATAACCTTACCTTTTTCTTTTCCTTGACATCATATAAAGCCAAACTTGCAAAAATGGGTTCAATTTCAATTTCGAACCTTTACGGAAAAAAGGATAAAATAAGTTAAAAGTAAATATAAAAGATACAGCTGGTAAGAAATTCTAATTCCAAAGCTAAATTATTGTAATACCTGGCACTTTTCATCTATGCCTTTGCCTACACTACACATTTGTCCTGAAATACACTTTTCTATGCATATCTTTCACAGTCTAAATTAACCATTACCTTCTTTAGTTAATCCTCCTTAATTTCTCCAGCTACTACTAATCTCCAACTGCCTAAAGCCTCATGGCATTTTATGTCCATTTTGAGGCACTCATCATTTTCTAACCTGCAATTTGGTTATTTATATGTATAGATATGTTCATTTTAAAGTAAGTTTTAAAAATAAAGGCCTATATGTTTTCTTTTTCAGATTATAAATTATATATTCCATGCAAAAATCTCAGAAAATACATTAAAATATTCAGAAGAAAACAGAAGCATCCAAAGAACCAGAATTAACAGTTTAATATCTAATACAATATCTAATACATCCAGACTTTATGCATAAATGTACTTGTTAAATGTATTTTTTTAAACAAACAGTGTCATGGCATACATATTTTATCATCTGCTTTTTTAACCTTTTATAGACAAATTTCCATGTCATAAATATTAATCTTACCATCATTTCTAAGGCTGGCATAGTAATTCCCATTATATGAATATGCCAAAATTTATTTTATAACTGGATGCTTAAAGTGAGATGTGTAATTCATTTCTAAGAAAAATGACTTACATCCAGTAAATATTTAGTAAATATTTGTTAAATGAAATAATATGTAATGTGAGGTTAATTAAAACTCTAGAGCAGTGGTTCTCAACCAAGGACAATTTTGCTCCCAGGGGACATCTGCCAATACCTAGACATTTTTGGTTATCACAACTATGAGAATATTACTAGCATTTAGCTGGTAGAGGCCCAAGATGTGACTAAACATCCTACATTGTACAGGACAGCCTCTGACAACAAAGAAATATCCCGACAAAAATGTCAATAGTGCTGAAGTTATAATAGCCCTGCTCTACATTGCTCATTTTGTATTACAAGAATATCAGCTAAGGTACTTGTAGGAGACAGACAACATATTCACATTGGGTTGAGAGTTTAAAAAAGGACATTTACAATGATTTGGGCAGGATCTAGGTTAAACAACTATACAGAGTACCATTCCCTGGTGCTAGCAAAAGCAGGAGTCATTACCAACCATAGACCTGAAAAAGAACATAAAAGTGGTAGCTGAAAATCAGAGAGCATAGCTGTATAGAACATCCTTCACAGAAACTGTGGCCTTGGAGAAAAGGAGGCAACAGATCTAAGTGACCCAGCAGGAAAGGAGTAAGTAAGGGAAATGAATTCTCACTGAGCTCACTCCCACCCTCTAAATTCTTGCTAATACCTCTCTTAGCAAAACCCAACCAGAAGCCAAAAGAAAAGAAAGGGGACCTAGGTGATCCTGTACACGTGTCAGCTTCTACAAAACCTACTCTGCATCCTCTACAACACTGGATATTGTCAGTCTTTTCGATTTTGGCCAATCCAGTGGGTAAGTGGTATCACACGCATCTTTCCATATATTTATTGACCATTTGGATATCCTCTTTTAGCCCATTTTTCTATTTATTGTTTGACTTATTCCTCATCAATCTGTAGTTCTTTATTTATTCAGGAGCACACTGTTAATTATATGTGTTGGAAATATCTTCTCCACTATGGTCTCTTGTGTCTTTTGATGAACAAAAGTCGTCCATTTTAATGAAGTAAAATGTATCAATGTTTTCCTCTAGGGGTAGTGTTTTCTATGTCACGTCAGAGAAATCTTTTCTTTCTGTAAGATCATGAAGATATCCCTACATTATCTTCTAGAAACTTTACTGCTTTGCCTTTCACTTTTAGGTCTACTATCAATCTGTAAATAATTTTTTGTGTATGATGTGAGATAGTGGTCAAATTTTATTTTTGCATATATATGCATATATATAATGAGAAACAGAGATAGAGAGAAAGAGACAGAGACAGAAAGGAAGGGAGATGGGGTGGGGGGAGACAGTCAAAGAGAAACAGATATCCAATCATCCTGCCAATTTACTGAAAAGATTACCCTTTCCATACTGTTCGACAGTACCCACTTTTATTATAAATCAACAATCCATAAACATGTGAGTCTTTTTCTAGCTCTTTAGTCTACTCCATTGGTCCATTTGTCTAATCATGTACCAATACTATACTGTCTTAATTATTTAGTTTCATACTAAGTCTTGATATCTGGTTGGTTTTTTTGGTAAAATTCTTCAAAACTGTCCTGCTTCTTTTGGCCATTTGTATTTGCATATAAATTTTAGATTCAGCTAAACATAAGCAAAAACAAAAGTAAGAGAAATGATAATTTACTTGTTCAGAAAATTAGTATTGCAATGTATAATTTACTGCCATAAA